CCCCCTCCCCCTCCCGCCACGCTCCCTGGACATCCTGGAGCCCAAAGGGGCCTCACGTACTTCGAGTGCCACCCCGGCCGCGTCCCCGGCCGCGACCACGCCCCCGTCCACGGCCACGGAAGGAAGCCCGAGCCCCACCAGCCCCATCACTCTTCACACTCGCTGTCTCGTCCTGGTCGTGCCAGGCAGGCTCCGGTTTGGTCTCTGGTTGCCAGGCCGGGGTGGGGGGGGCCACAGACACAGGCATGTAGGTGGTGGGCTCAGGCCCTATGGGGGGGGGCACAGGGTCAGGTCCGAGGGCATCCCCCTCGTCCAAACCCTCTGCAGTGGGCAGGGGGGCATACCTTTGATCTCCCCTCGGCTGGCAGGTGTGTGTCTTGGCTCCTGTGGGCGCGCGGGACGCGAGGCCAACTTCTCTCTGGGTACTTCGGGCTTCATGTCTATTTGCAACGGAACCCACTTGTGTTTGTTCCCTGAGGGACAGCACGGGCACGTGAGAGGCATGGCAGGTCCCCTCCTCACATGGCTCTTCACTTTCTCCAAGGGTGAGGCCTAGTCCCCACCTGGACCGATAATCCTTGGGGACAAATCCCTTTCCCACACGGGGTCTCTTTCTCATCTCTAAAATAAGGCAGCCAGCGGTCCTCAGCATTATTGAGATTTCCAACTAACTCCCAATAACCAACTATAGGTCCTGATTCACCTTCTGGATTCAGACACATAGCTGCTCAGAACACACAACAGCGTCCCAGGCCGACATCACGCACATGCTGCCTGGGAGAGCCTGTTATCTAGCTGGAGTGAGTAGGACATCTTGGCTGGTGAGGGACCACTGCATTGCAGTGAGACAGAGTTAGGAGTGGCCACAACAGGCCTGACTGCCCACACCATGTGGTTCTGTGGGAGACAGTAACTTCCACCTTAAGATGTTTACATTGGATCTGCCCTGAGGGAGTCAAGCCTGTACCCTAACCATTTCAGCGGGTTTTTGGAAACTGAGTACTGCAAACTCTTGTTAAAGAGAAAAGAGCCCATGGACCGAGGCTGCAGAGAGCATGGCTCCCCGAGGAACTCAGGCACTCTGGGCTTCATGAGGACCCTCCGCAGCCCCCAGAGCTCTGCAGCACCGCCCGGACACTCACCCTTCTTCTTCTGCGCGCCTCGCTGGCAGTCCTCGTCCCCGTTCTTCTCCTCCCCTGACTCGTCCGACTTGGCTTTCGGGCTGTCCTTACTGTCGCTTCCCTCCCCTTTCTCCTGCTCCTTCATGTCCTTCTTGGACGGCAGCTTACGAGCAGGCTGAGGCTTATAGGACTGCGGCTGCAGTGAGAGAGGCAAGGGAGGGGTCATGCTGGAGCCTCTGGGTCAGAGACGCATCCCGAGGCCTGGTGGTGTGTAAAAAAAATTCTCTCCCCAGCCTACCCAAATCTGTGATGGGCACTTCCAGGACAGAGGTGCCCAGCCCACAGGGGTCTGCTCATATGCAGGGTGGAAGACATGTCCACCCTGGCTTCTCTCTACTGTCTCTAAAATATCCCCTTGGAGCAAAGCACCGCAAGGAGCAGAGGTGACCGTACGTCCTCCGTTGGGGTCCAGCAGGACTGAACGAGCTTCGCCAACAGGGGTCCGTGCCTGGCCTGCTAACCCCTCTCAGCATCACAGGGAGTCCCGTGCAGAGATGGAGAATGTAAGGTCTGACACGCCACGGCACAGCTGTTTGCTAGCCCGTACCTGGCCATCAAGAGCCAGGACTGACTTCTGGAAACTGGGATTCTTGGGGAAGAGGTGAGTGCACTGTGGGTGAGGAGATGAGCTGGCGGTCCCTGGCCCCAGGTAAAGTCCACACTACAGTAATCCCTAGTTAGCTCCGTGCTGCCCACATCACGGAACTAGTTTCCACTTTCTGAGACGGGGATGTGTCTAATGCTACCCAGGTCGGCCTTGAGCTCCTGGACTCCGCAGGCATCTCCCTAAGTGGTGGAACTACAGGCCTGCAGTACAGTGCCCTGCCGACAACTCCTTTTTTAAAAACCAAAGAAAGGTGAGGCCAGAGGCTTTCTGAACCTTCCTGCCCTATCCCCACACTCACCTGCACACTCTTGTGGGCTATCTCTCCCGGTGTGGGCCAATTGATTGCATCTCCAAAGTCACCAACCTGCAAGACAAGGTCTATGAATATGAAGGCCCCACCCAGGGTCACCCTGCCACTGCCATTCAGGCCCTCACCCAAGTGCTGGCCTCCCTAGGGGGGTCAGGGCCACACCAGTCCATGCACTCAGACACTGTGCCCTGGGCCCAGAAAGGGCTTCCACGCGCTTCCGAGTCCAGAAGCCCCCACTACAAGAGGAAAGGGCACCACCTCCCCGGCCACAGGCCGACCCACTTCCTTCTCACCTTGCTGCCCTTGCGTTGTTTAGGGGCAGCTGCCCTCACCACCTTGGCTGGAGCAGAAGGTTCTGTGGGGACAAGGAAGACAGCGGTGTAGAGCCTGTGTCACCACCATCCCCACCATGCACATTCTCAGTGCAGTAGGAGGAGGCAGGCACTGGCAGCCCAGATCCCAGTTCTGAGGTCAGAAGGCCTTAAGAGTCCAAATGTACGCTGGCTTCTGAGACAGGAACCGAGACTGGGGAGGGAAGCCCATGCCCAAATCAGCACTGTAATACAACCCAGGGCTCCCAAACCAAGGCAGGGTCATGAGGAAAGGCAGGATCTTCTACGAGTCTCTGCATGAGCAGTTACACGCAAGCTGAAGATGCCTACGGGGGCAATGAAGACCAGGGCCACGCCAGGACCAGCTCTGTCCTCGCTGGCCTGTGGGTGAGGCAAGAACCAGCCTCTTTCTCCCAAAGAAAGTGCTCCCGCTTGATGCAAGTGCTCCACCTTCTACACTTTACCCCAAAGAAAACTAGTGATGTCAAGTCATGCACAAGACACTGTCCAGGTGCTAGTCACAACCTGAGGACACTGAAAACAAACTTCATCTCCAATCGTAAGGAACTGACTACATGTAGCTCATCCACATTCATTTAAAAGAGAGGTTTCCTGACCACACAAGAGGGTACCAAACAAGGGCACTTAAAACTACCTGCTGTCTGTGGCTGTCCACAGGTGCAGACTCCCAATGCAGAGGCTGGGTTACCAGGCACAGCAGCGAGCTCACTCTTCTACGAAGACAGACATGGCTCTAAGAACAGTACACAGGGCTGGAGAGGTGGCTCAGAGGTTAAGAGCACTGGCTGCTCTTGCAGAGGACCTGGGTTCGATTCCCAGCACCCACATGGCAGCTATGCACCGTCCTTAACTCCAGTTCCAGGGGAATCCGAAGCCCTCTTCTGACCTCTGTGGCATTGCATGACACGGGTGCACTCACATCCATGCAGGCAATACACTCATACACATTAAAAGAAAAGAACAGTACACAGGGCTGGAGAAGTGGCTCAGCGGTTAAGAGCACTGGCTGCTCTTGCAGAGGACCTGGGTTCCATTCCCAGCACCCACATGGTGGCTAACCACCATCCCTAACTCCAGTTCCAGGGGAACCCGACGTCCTTTTCTGTCCTCCATGGGCATTACATGACATGCATGGGTACACTTACACACTTGCAGGCCTAACACTCATAACAATAAAATAAAAATTAATTTTGGAAAAAAAAAAAAAAAAAAGAACAGAACACAAGGTCTTTTTTAAAGGAAGTTGCTCTAATCAGTCCACTCTCTTTCACACCCACAAGCACTTTCCCGCCACAATTCTGAGGACCAACACAGTCTGTCCCTCCCTCCCCCATAAATCCGCAGGAAAAGACACATCCTGGGATTCTGCTTGCCCACTTGGCCCTTGCTTTACTCCCTTGCTGGTCAGCCACACCAGTTCAGGAACTGCCCCGGCCCCTGAACACAGAAATCTGCCCAGCTGGACTCACAAGAAGGTTCTTCATCAGACCATGTCCCGTAATGAGCAGAAAGTGTTCTTGTCGGGCTCCTAACTTTGACTGAGGCCGATGCTTTCCCAGCTTCCGCCCCTCACTGGAGCCGCTGCCCCCTAACGCTACCCACATGCCTTCTGATAACTGGGACTGTGGGACCAGCCCACAGCTTCCCTCATTCCCAATGCTTCGCAGCACAAAACTGGAAAATCTCAAGTTGCAAGACAACTACTCTCCTGTGACCCCTGAGTTGACCTAGACAAGCCACCTACCACCCAGTTAGTTCCCTGACGACATATCTTTACCTGCTTCAACTCTGGGCCAAGCTAGTGCCCACCTGAGCTACAAATTAAGTTACTTCTCCCAGTCCTCAACAGCAAGTCTGAGCCAGCAGGAGAGCCCACAGGGCCCGGAGCAGAATGTATTGACTGGACGTATGTCAGCAATGGAGTGAGGCATGCTGAGGCTCTTCTGTGAAGGGGGAGACACTGGCGAGACAGCTCAGAGGACAGATGCCAAGTCTGACACCCCTGGAACCCACGGCAGAAGAGCATCCCTCAAAGTTGTCCTCTGACCTCCACAGGTATGCCATGGTGCTCTCTCCAAAAACAAATGACTGCAACGACATTCCTTAAAGTTTCTACTGATTTAAGGCAGTAGGGTCTTGGGTGTAGCCCAAGCTAGCCTTAACCTTCCAGCAATCCCCCTGCCCCAGCCTGCCAAGTGTTGGGGTTACAGATGTGTGCCCCAATGCCAGGCTTGTGTCTTTGAGACAGAGTTGCACCCTGTAGCCCAGGCTGGCCTTGAACTCAGAGATCCCCTTCAGTCTCCCAAGTACTGGGATTAAAGGTGTACACTATCACAGTGGGTCCTTATGAGAACTTTGTTTTGTTTTGAAACAGGGTCTCCCTGTAGCCCCATGTGGCCTGGAACTTGCTATGTAGATGATCTCACAGATCCACCTGCCTCTCCTGGGATTAAAGGTGTGTGCCATCATGCTCAGCCCTTACGAAAACTCTTAAAACTCACCAGGGCTGACTAGGATCAACCCCATCAAGATCTAAATGGAACACAGTTAGGGATTGCAAGTTCTGTCCTCTGTTGAATCAGGAGAGGTCGGAGGGCCTGCTTGTCTGCACTCCAGCCCCACCCCACAATGGAGAGAAGGCAGCCTGTCTAGGCATACACAGCAAGTCTTAAATGCGTCCTAAGTGGAGTTTGTACAAAAGCCCCATCCCCAGAGTGTCCTCTGCCTGAGAACCCATGGTGCCCCTTTTTCCCTGTTCCTAGTTGCTCCCAACAAGAGTAAGTCCAGGGTGGAGGGCTCTGAGAAATCCAGTAGAGCTCTGATGAGCTGCCACAGGCACTGCAGGAGTTGCAAGACAGGCGAGGGTTTGGACTTGACTTCAATCAAACGTGCATCACCTTCTGGGCCCCTTCTCAAGTCACCCACTGTGTGCACGTCACACACACACACACACACACACACACACACACACACACACAGAGTCCAGTTGGACTTGGCACCTGGAGCAGTTTCCAATGGAAACCAATCTTGTGCAGACACTGACCATACTATGTCAGCCACGTCAACCTTCCTACCGTCTTCTGGAGCCTGCACCTGCCACCTCCACCCAGGCCTCCTGCAGTACATACCCTTTGTACATCTGCACACAGCCACACAGGTCAGAGCAGCAAAGGGGGCACAGTCCTAAACCACTCTGTCTGCAAGAAGGACTGCATGCATGTGGGAAAGGGGCTTCTCCCCAGGATGAGCTGTAACACTAACTTGTGAACCAGGGGCGCCACTCCCTTGCCAGGGGTCTACCAACCCACCAGAACCTCCGAGGCTGCCGGTGGTTCTCGCACATCCACTGGGGCTGGGAAGGACCAAACCTTAGTGTGATCTTAATGTGTTTGCATACTTTTTCCAATTGGTTACCATGGGTCAGGCGGGGGGGGGGGGGGGGTGTCAGTGTGGGGAAACAGGCCCTAGGATAGCTTCCTCCTCAATGAAGACCTTTCAGAGGCTACAGGGTATTGGAAGGAGGAAAAGGTCTCGCTGCCGCCCCCCAGTAAAGAAAATGGGGGGAAAATGGGGGCACACCAAAACCTCTGCAGGCGGCCATCGACACTTAGGGGCTGGGCACGCGGGCCTTTTTCTAGCCCTCTCTTTACTTACTAGACACTTTTCTTAGTTATTTAAGATGGTTTTGAGTGGCAGGCACAGGAGCTTCCACAGCCATGAAGGAAGGAAAGGAAGGCCAGCAGTTGGTGGTGGGTGCCCCAAGGCCTCAGATGTCTAAACCGTCCACTTTCAGAGTGATAGCCCTGCACTCAATGTTCAGGAAAGCCAGACACCCACTGCTAAGCACAGGGAACCTCGTCAAGGACTTGAAATGGAGTCCTTGGAGAGCCCCTCTGCATCTACTCCTCTGTGAGAACTGAGGTAAGACCTCAGCACTCACTGGGACATCTAAAGAACAGAGCACATTCAGGGTGCCTAGCACTCGGTCAAGAACTCAACAGATGCTGTTATTCAAAGTCTCCCCGGAAGTTACTATTTCCAAGTGACCCCCATCCTGACCTCTCAAAAGAGAAGAGTGTCAGAGAATTCTAGGAAGCCAGACTACCAATCAGGGCTGTCTCCTAGGCAGAGACCCTTGAGGAGCGGGCACCCACATCCTCCTCACAGCACTGCAGCAATTTCTCTACACACCAAGGGCTGAACATGCTACAGTTTTAAACACTGCAAGGTTGTCTTTCTTAACACTTGAAGTGTTAGCAAACTGGTTCCTCTCACAGGTCCGACTATGAAAGGAGATGAAGGTGCACAGCAGAAGCTACTTGTCAAGGTCACGGCCAGCATGAGTCTATTTTGACTCTAAAGCCTGTGATCTCAAACCCAGGATGAGATGGAAAAGAAGCAAGCGGCCCAGGTTAACCACTTCACTATGGCCAAAGGCACAGGTCTTGAGCGCCAGTGACCTGTTGATCACCCCTACGGCCACCACAGCCCACCCCCACAGGAAATGGATGCGAGCTCATCCTTCTAGCCCCCCTCCCAGATCTCCACAGCAGACTTTGCCCCAGAGAGGTTGGTCGGCCACATCCGGGACCAGAGCAGACGCTGGGGGTGGAGGGCACAGTTCTCCCTCCCGCACCCTTCCTGGGTAGTGAAGGCCAATGCCATGTGCTTGAGCTATATAGCTCAGAGCAGTAAAGCCATGGGGAGGGCGACCCACCTGTGTGCCTGTCCTTCCCAGACCAGCCTGGCGACAGTTTAAAGACAGACTGCATCCAGCTGTCGCCCAGTCTGGGGATGGGGTGGAACCAGGGGAGGAACCTAGAGATGGACAGACTGTCTGTCCCCAGAAACCCCTCAGAGGAGAGGTTTTCTACAGTGTGCGGAGAACGTGAAGCTCGTCTTCTCACCTTGTTCAAGCTTTCTGCCTGCTGCCCTGGCTGCCGCTCTTATAGGCCTCCCTCCCCTGCCCACCTTCCCACCCAGTCCCACAGCTCGCAGAAGA